GCCCCAAGCCCAAAACCCTAGACCCCGGACCCCAAACCCCAAAGCCAGGCCCAGAAGCCTTGATTTTAGGCCTTACAGCTTAGGGTTTCTACCTTTCAACCCAAACTCGGAACCCTCAGATCTGCGCCCAAGCCCTCCACCGAACCCCAAGCCTTAAACCCAACATTCTGAAAATTCAAATCCGAAGCCCGCACCTCTAAACCCACTAAGTCTTAGCCTGTGTGTCCCCGGAAGGAGGGGAACTTCTGTGAAGTTTCCGTAATAAGGACGCCATGCTATTTGCTCTAGATCCCGATAAGGGCAACATGAATTAAATCCCTTAGCAAGAACCCAGGTTTAGACAAACTCCTGGATCTTGGCTTGAAAAACTCCTCAGAGGAGGCCCGCTGGCAAAATCCATCTTGGGTTTCAAGACTTCGGGGGTTTGTTTTGGGTTTGGTGTTGCAGGGTTTAGAGTTTAGGGTCTAGGGTTCTAGAGCTTTGGGCGACTTAGGGCTTTCAGGTTTCGGGGTCAGGGGGCCAGGTTTCGAGGTTTAAACTTTAGGTTTGAGTTGGTTTAGGGTTTAGTATAGGGGCCTTAATGATTAGAAGAGGGCCCTGGGGCCCATTATACTATACTTCTACTAAGGAGCCCCCCAAAATATAGCATTGGTAATTATTTCGGCCCCTCTATAACCCTAAGGGTCCAAAGGACCTAATAATCATGTACTTGGGTTACGGATAGTAGTTTTTTAGGTTAGTATTCAGAAGAGTATATGATTATTAGGTACTTGGACCCTTAGGGTAAGGGGATCTCTCAAGGTATGATGCCCCAGGCGTCTACACTGAAGGTGCAGGAGCCTCTTGGAGAGGGCTTGGGGCTAAGATAGAAGCCTCTAAGTAATTGCCAATATTTTTCCTTCGGGTTCCGGATTATACTTATACTATTAGGGAGCCCGACACCCTATTGTAATTATTAAGGCCCCTACATTAGTTCATTTGCTTGTCCGAACGCCTTTTGAATTCCACTTCAATGGTCTCAAGACTCAAATCCAAGGCCCTAAACTGGCCGTACTTTGAGCCTGGTGTGATTGACTTGAGGGCACACTTCAAACTTCAAAGATTACGAAAGACCTCCCCAGAATCCCAAGAGCGCTGAGCCGCCGGCAGAACCTATGCCGAAGTAGTAAGCCCTAAAACTTTAAACTCTAAACCCCTAAACCCTGAATGCGACACCCTCAAACACCAAACCCTAAACCCTAAACCCTAAGCCCCTAAACCCTTAAGCCCTAAACCCTTAAACCTACCCTTAAACCCCCCTCAAACACCAAAGCCTAAACCCAAGCCTAAGCCCCAAACCCGAGACCCTCGCGAAGGCCATGGCGGCCATGGGCTTAGCGATCTGCGCCGCAGCGAGTGATCCGCTGGCGCCCTCAGGCGTTGAGGGTTTCCAAGGTGTGGCAGTTTTGGGCGGTTTGTGAAAGTTTTCGGTAAGTGTGTATATATATATGTATATATGTATATATATATTTATGTGTACTGTTACATGTCAACCTATCTATCGGCAGCAGTTCTATGTGTCTGTGTGGGTCTCTACGCGGTACTTCACACCCTGTTCAAGCCCCCTTCGACACAACATGACACCAATCAACACCACGAGTGGAAGAGACTGGACGCAGGGCCTACGGCGGCATCTCGAGCCGCAGATTTGCTGCAGCGGCTGCTCGTGCTGGCCGCGCGGGGAGGGGTCTCGGACGATTCCTAAACCCTAAAAATCTCTAAGCCCTACATAAAAAAACCGCAAATGTCCCTAAGCCCTAAATTAAGAACTCTAAACCCTAAACCCTAAATCAGCAAACTTAAACCCTGAACCCAAAATCAACAACCCGAACGGCCGCACCGGGCGTAGGCCTGCAGAAACTAGGCCTGGCTGGTTAGGGTGCTAGGCTCCTGCTGCCCTACAGAAAGAGGCTTAGAGGATCTCGGCCATCTGGCTCTGAAGCTTCTTCAGGGTTTAGGATTTAGGGATTTGGGGTTTAGGGTTTGGGGTTTATGTTTGCAGGTTTATGTTTGAGGGTTTGGGGTTTAGGATTTAGGGTTTGGGGTTTGGGGCTGTTCTTATTATTCTTTAGACTTGTAAACAAAATATATGCATTATACTACAAATCCAGGGTTTACTAAACGCATCTCCTTTTATATTCTGGCTCTAGGGGCGCGCGAGGCTTCAGCGTCTTAGCTTGGCTAGAGGGGAAATTCCGGTCGGTGCTTGGAGGTTCATGATTCATGGGCAGTTATAAGTGGGGTTATAAGTCCCCTAATATAGGTTATAAGTATAGTTATCCTACTTCTAACCCTACTTATAACTACCCCTAAACCCTAAACCCTAAACCCTAAACCCTATAGATTCCTTAAAGGAACCCTACTTATAACTACCCATGAACCTCCAAGTAGGGTAGTAGGGCCTCGTGCGGAGGGCATTGCTTACGGAGTTCTTGAGCTGGCATACACCACGCCCAGGTTCCCGTCGTATCATAGCTGCCCCTATTTGGAGGTTCATGGGTATGTTAGGGTTATAAGTAGGACATCTATAGTTATGCCTTATAATATTAGGGGACTTATATCTCCAGTTATAACTACCCATGAAACTCCGAGTACACCGACCTCTGAATAAAATCATGGGACAGCGAGCTTTGGGT